TTTTTTTTTTTGTCGGTTTCCTTTTGCCTAACTTGCAATATTTAAAAATGTACGGTAGAGGCTGGACATGCATTAGTCGGTGCCTTGATGCCAGAGTATGATCCAGTAGCAAAAATATCTATAATTCCGCGTGGACAAGCAGGTGGACTTACGTTTTTTGCTCCGAGTGAAGAGAGACTTGAGTCAGGATTGTACAGTCGGAGCTACTTAGAAAATCAGATGGCTGTTGCACTTGGTGGAAGGTCGGTTATTCATTTTCAGTCCCCCTTCCTTGACATTTTTCGTCAATTGACAACTGAATCAATCAATAAATTCAATCAGGAGTGGTGAAATATCTTGGTTCATTGTTATCATGGCCTAAAGGTGTGAAAAGTGTATTGAAAACTTTCATCCAATATTATCTCTAAATTTTTTCTTCAAAACGTCCGATCCCTTTTTCGTCACGAGCATATGTGAACCAATGAATTGTTAGCAGTTACTAAGTTTACTTTTTGGGTGTGAAAGAAATGATAAAACGAAAAGTGGATACTGATCAGGATTTGTCTAAAATGTTGATACATACTTGATATTGTTCTTCTTGTAACAAATCACCTCACAATCTCAAGAAACATTAATTCTGCTTTCTACACTTGATTCATGTGTTCATGCAGGGTTGCCGAAGAGATTATATTCGGACAGGACAACGTAACAACTGGAGCATCCAATGATTTCATGCAAGTCTCAAGGGTTGCAAGACAGATGGTCGAGAGGTTTGGGTTTAGCAAGAAAATCGGGCAAGTGGCCATAGGTGGTTCTGGTGGAAACCCATTTCTCGGACAACAGGTAACACTTGCTATATGTCATACTAAGATGATACTTTTGAGTTTCTCAAGAAAACTTATCTAACAAGTAAATATCAGTCTCATAAACAATAATTGACCATCTCCTACTAGAATGGTGATGTACTATATAGTTTTCTCTGTTTAAACTTCTAAACATTAAGTTTATCAAGATTTTAAGATCATGTTCTTGCATTGTTTCAATTGGTACTTTCCCATGAACACTGCAGATGTCATCCCAGAAAGACTACTCCATGGCGACAGCAGACATAGTAGATGCCGAAGTTAGACAGCTGGTCGAGACAGCATACAACCGGGCCAAGCACATAGTCACCACACGCATTGACATCCTACACAAACTTGCTCAATTACTAATCGAGAAAGAAACGGTTGATGGAGAGGAGTTCATGAGCCTCTTCATAGATGGCCAAGCTGAACTCTACGTCGCCTAAAACTTCTTCCCCCAAAAAAACCAAGGAAAAAAAAAAAAAACCAATATTGTACAATTAAAGATTAAATACATAGCCGTTTGTGAAACATTATTTCACATTCTCAGTTGGCAGAAATGAAAGCAATCACCCATCTACTCAAACAAACAAAAAAAAATTAATATAAGTGTGTATGTAACTCTGCTTCCCCCAGTTTTATATTATACATTTTGGCATACAAACTGTGCAGCAAAGTGAGATCCAGTGAAGGAGAGTTCACTTCACGTCCCCTTGGTGGCTCGATTCTTCTTTTCTTCGAGCATGGCAGCCTCATTGAGCATGTCAGCCGCGTCTTTGTGCATGTCGAGCTTGGCAAGAGCCACAGCCTGCATGTAGAAGGCAGTGGACCAATCCGCATAGATGCATTGTGCCTGCATGGCATCACGCAGGGCAGCGTCTGGCTGGTCGCACATCAGATAGCAGAGGCTCCGCCGGGCATGGACAGTCGGTGATATCATAGTCCCCACGTCTATGAACTGCACCAATTACCCGAGTACCATTTTGTTTTTTAAGAGAAAGAAACAATTTGATAATATATCAATGATTTGAGAATGGTACAAATAAACCAGGGGCTTCCAAATAATGTTGTGTGTGTGGATGTGGTAGCAAACCTAGTTATGAAATGCAAGGCTGAAAAGAGAATGTATGTAGAGTTAAAGAATACAGGATGTAATGTTAAGAACTGTTTCTGGTTGAGATGAGAAGGTAATGTTGATATATTTTCAGGTGCCTGGTTCATGCCTATTAGATGAGGTGCTGCCTACTTTTCAAAGTAACATCAGTCGACTCGAATGATGTAAACATGAGTATAACAGGTACATTGAATATTGCTTTGATTTTACAAAGTCTAAATGAGTGTGAAAATGATAACTGAAGGCAAAGGAAGCAAAACTACGATGTCGTATGAAAAAAAAAAAATGACTCCATATGGCGCCTTGGTTGAATTGTAAATGACCTATGGGGTCAAAACGTGCTCTACCTTTTTAGATCAAAAGTAATACACAGAGAATGAGAAAGAACAGGAGAAAGGCATTAAGGCATGTTCCCAGCAAATATGACAGTGCCCATGGGTGAATGAGAATACCTGAGAGTAGCAGTCGATGGCAGTTTTGAAATCTTTGTCGCGAAATGCCAAGTCACCTCTCTTCCTTGCGTCCAACATATCTCTCATCTGCTGAGTCCATTCTTGGAAAGATAACTGTGTCATAACCACACCGATGCTTTAGAAACACAATGCTCGATATCATAAAGACACGCAAGAATGATTTTCATAGACAGGTATAGATCGATTTAGACCTCATTGGTTCCCTCGTCATCTTTATAGTGTTGCATGACTAGAAATTGATGGATAGCAGTGAGATCCATACGCGAACACGCATCGCCCATTGGGGAGAGCGGATGAGGTGTCGGGGGTGGCGGTGCTTCTTCCCGCTTTGAAATTCCCAGCATCACATGAGATGGAACCTGTAATTCCCAATTTATTTGTTTTCTTTTGGTCAATATTTTCACAAAGTTGGTGGTCGTACCATGACTGAATGATTTCAACACTAATCATTTTGAGCCATGCGCGGCTCATACAATTTCTCACACAGTAGCAGAATTAATCAAATGAGACAAGGTACTTTTTGCAAATTCATCAAAAACCTGATTGTGCCCATCTACAGCAGCGTGGAAAAAAATTTACAAAGAGCACATCATTGAATTTCAAGCAAGGGAAACATATGATGGAACACAATGAAGGGGAAAATGAAAGAGATAACACTGTTACCACTGGTGACAGACATCTAACAGAATGGACTAGTAAGCAAAATCATATGTATTTTAGATTGGGTTGTTTGCCACATTATTTATTCTTGGAAACAGTTTGAAAAGAAAACTTGTAATTGGCACAACCTATAAGAGTAACATAACTTAGAACTTACAGAGTTGTTCTTTCAGATCTCATGTATTGAAATAAAATATTTTATAGATTATAATTATTGCTAATATAAGAAAATGAAAGAGATTAAGGACTTGCATCATTTTTATTTTGAAGCGGCGCAAGGGTCGAAACAAGATCAGCAGTCTTTGGCCGTTCCCTTGGTTCATACTGCAAACACTGTGAGGCAAGATCGAAAACTACTGTAGCCTCTTCGGTAGAGAAATTGCCCTCCAAATGGGAATCCATTAAAAGGAGAATATTTTTGCCCCGAATCATGTCCAGCGCCTGTAAATGCACAAATTACATCAGATACATCATCTCAAAATAAAACTGGCTGATAGTCATAATAACTAAAAACTTCATGAGGGAGAGCCATGAGACTGTACGACAGTCAGTGACAAATCAACTGGAAACAGGATTGCATATAACAGAAATACAAGAGTTCACATAAATGCAACCATTACACCATCTCATTCAGTCATTCAAAAGAAATGCCAACAGGTGATTAAATATGTATCGCATAAACTACTAATAAATTTAAGACAACATAGCATACAAATATAACAGAAACAAGTAGTAGTTTTCCGGTACTAGGAAGATGCACGTGCTACGCACGTAATATTAATCACTTTTTCTTTACTTAAAATTGTTTTTATTATTAAATTTACATTTAATAGTATAATATAAATTTCATTCTATTGGTTAATAAAAAATTGTCTATTTTATAATAATCAATAATAAATGTATTAAATAATGAAATATAATATTTACTACTTTTTACCAAACTGTGACATAAAATTAAATAAAAAATATTGGTCTGAAAACCCACAGTAAAATTATTATTATTATTATTATTTTTTGTGAAATTTTAAATGCTAAAGAAATTTATGTCGTCTTTGATTTTGTTATCCAATGATAACTCATTATGCTTAAAAATAACGACCATTATCATTGTCATCATAATATAGTTTTTTAATGTATTATTTTCGCGTTATGCTCTTTGAAAATAAGTCGAATATGTTATAACTATCATTTGTAGTTATAGTTTTTCTTATTGTTAATTGAAAACTAACCAACTATGTTTGATTGTTACATTCTCGACTATTTTCAGCATCGTGGATGCTGATCAAGTATAATATTTCATAATACTTAGATATATATTTTTATTTGGATAAAATGGCACGACAAATAAATTATGTTTGAAAATGTCTTTAAAGTCGTGATTATTTCAAAAATAAAATGTAATTGAAAAAGATTAGAAACATTAACATCGATTAAATGTACCCATTTCTCTATATATATTGTCCAATATTGGTTGATTGAAGGTACTAATCTCATATGTTGTCCAACATAAATTATTGTTGCATCTCCTAACATTACCATGCATGCATTACTATTTTTTGTTCACGAATTTTCAAGACTATCCTAAATGTGAC